CCCAAAAAAAAAAAACCAAAAAAAAGAAAAAAAAAAGCAAATGATGCATTTTTTCCAGCAAAAGTTAAGAGTTATATGAACAGAAAGGCACACAAAAAGAAACTAAATAAAGGCAATAGTAGGATACTGCTGTTCAAAAGTCTAAGAAGAAGACAACGGAACAAAAGAAACACTGAACATAGAAACGGACTATTTGATAACAACTGCCATATAACTCAGTCTGAGATCTTCATTTTGCAGAAGGGAGTGTTACCTTTTTGTCATTTTAAACCTTTTTAACAATTTTAATGACTTAAATTAGAACTACTCTGTGATCATTATTTGTGATAGTTCTTCTAGACTTAGATAAAGTCAACTTAAGTTTGCTGAAACTTTTTAAGATAAAAGGATTTAATATTAAATAGTCTTCATCTCTTCGTGGTTTTCAAAATACTGGTTTGGACGTAACTTTCAATAGATTCGTGTTAGGTTTTTCTTATTTGTCCGAGTTTGAAATTGATATTTGATATTTTTGGTGTATTATTAGTTACATAGTGTGCTAGTGAACTAATACGATATATATGGGGTCAGTAAATTCCACATGGGGTGTCTAATACGATATATATGGGGTCAGTAAATTCCATATGGGGTGTCTAATATGATATATATGGAGTCAGTAAATTCCATATGGGGTGAGAGCGAAGCTAGAATCCCCATATGGAGTTTACTGACCCCATATATATCGTATTAGGTCACTTACACACTATGTAACGAATTCATCTTACCGACTATCTTAACATGTGGTATTTAGACTAGTGGCTTATCAAAGTGATCAAGTCTTCAATACCGTTAGTATTAAGAACCTACTTCCATTGGTCTATACAAAAACAAATGCCAACAATACAATAACAACTTGTTAGCTTTAAATGTGTTTAAAGAATTTATTGCAATCGTTCATCATCAATTTCTTCGTCTGTTGAAACCTTTAAGATTTTTCCTCAACACCGTGTTGTTTTAATAAAGGGACGTAACACCACTACTAACTGTGTATTGAAATAAGCACCGCCTATTAACCTAATATGGAATATACACGGTCTCCACGCGGTTGCTTTTAACCAATCATATTCCTAGAAATGTATAGGAGGTAAGATAAATGGTTATACAGGTAAAATATTTGGTGTACAGATGACCATATCATTTTGTCTCAGTGGTTGGTTAAATACCTGAGTTTCTCTAATTTAAAATAATGATATTAACACAATTCTATGTAACGATAATAGATTTATGGTTTAGTATTACATGTATTATAAACTAAATTTTGGTATACTCTAATAACAAGAGGTAACAAAGCTAACAATAAATACAGTTGTAAAAATTGCATTAATGACAAAAGTAAGTATAAATATTGTGTGTACTTGTTGTATTTCGTTTTTTTTTGTTTTTTTTTGCTTTGTTGTTGTCAATTCCTCTATTTGACATATAAGTTTTGAATACCCGCTTGGTATCTTGCGCCTATTGTTTTAAAATAATCATCAAAAATTACAACGATTTACTAGAATATTTTGTTGAAAATGATAAAGATGAAACTTTAATAGATCCATGAAATACGCTAATGAATAAAGCTGTCATAAACTGTTCTCTGAAATAACTATCCTTAACAGGTATAGCGTACAACAGCTTATGTAATAAAGAGTCCTTAAATTGTTATCGATACTGTCCTAACAGTTAAAACAGTTCCTTATTACATATAAGAAAGAAGCTACAGGTGGTCCATGTTTATTCAACTTGTCCAGTAAGTTCCTTCAACTCTTTGTTGAATCTTTCCAGAATTTTACAGATCGGTAAATATATGACATGCCCAAATTGTATAAAAGCATAATCGGTTTAAAGCTGAATATAGGTTAAATTAGAACGACAAACGGTAAAATGGAACAGTTACGAACATTAATACTTCATTGGTACTTCAATCAGCTATTACAATTTTGTTAACTAAATGACAAAGTAGAACAGCATGTGGGTTGCTTCCGTATTTCTGATGGATAATGGTCTAGAGAAATGTCCGATTCGACAACTTCCATATGTGTGCTAATATGTTTACGATGGCATTATAGTTTCCAGTTCAACAAAGACGTTAGAAAGTTTTATGTTTTATTTTAGATTTAGATTTAATCATTTTCAGTTCTGGACACCTAAACTAACCAATAGAACCAGTATTGGGAGGCCCCATCTTGTTAAAACATCTCTTGATATATATATGACCTGCCACTAAGTTCACTCATACCAAAAACTGACACAATATAATACAAGTTCTTCGAGATGTCTAGAAATAATTGCTGGTTCTCTAATATTGATGTCCAAGCCTTCTTTATTTGAAAGTGTGTCCACCTAACATATTCATGAGCCTCTCTAAACATTTCAACTTTGTATGTAATAGCCATTTTAGAAACCTATAACGAAATATTGAAATCTTGTTTTTCTTCCCTTCTTCTAATATATATATATATAATAAAGTTTTCTTTCCATTCTTAGCTGAATAACATCTTTATAATAATTCAATTTGTTTTTTAATTTAATTTTTTTCTTTTTAATTATATTCATGCTCATTTTTTAATATTTTTCAGTACGAAAAATCGTTGCATACATGATAAGACGTTTTAACCTACTATGTCTGTTGTTTTGTTCATACATTGTTGTCAACATAATGGAATTTTATGCGACTGTCATACAAGTGAGGGGTTTAGCTTGCTATAAGGTTTAATTCATTATTTTCTACATAAGGAAATGCCTGTACAAAGTCAGGAATAAGACAGTTGTTGTCCATTCGTTTGATGTGTTTGAGCTTTTGATTTTTCCATTTGTCAAGGGACTTTCCGTTTTGAATTTTCCATGGAGTTTGGAATTTTGTTATTTCATTTTTTGTTATAATCAGGGTTTTCGTAACAATATGAAATTCTTATTTTGACCTTCCATGTGTTTGTAATTTTCGCCTTATCTACATGTAACTCAATAGACGGAAGTAGACCATTGTTCTGTTGAATGATAATAGCAACCACATGAATTAAGATAAGTTTAAGTGTTAGTTCTTGGTAAAGCATATGCAAAGTGATCATGAATCGTTTATCATATAGCTTTCAACTGTTTTGGTTCTTATACATCACTGGCTTTTACATATTCTGCTTTGAGCGTTTCTGATTACGGTCATGCTTGAAAAAAGCTTCGGACGCATGAAATGTATACAGTCATGTTGTCATTTTTTGCAGCACTGGGTCGATACCGCTGCTGGTGGACTATCAGTACCCGAAGGTATTATCAGTACTACGGTACTAGCATGATTTATAGCAAACCCCTCTTAAATTGTCCGTTTAGAAATTAATAAACTATTAAGAAACTAAGGTTTATTCTCTCTTAGGCAAGGTTGACCTCAGATTGAATAGGTTTCATTGTTTTATGTCCCTTTTTGGACATGTAGCTCCACTTTTTCCCAGAGTAAAATATTGGGATGAGGCACATGGATCCAGTAATGTCACTCAGATGTGGATTATTAAAAAGAATGACGAAAGTTGATTCAAGTATCTAGTCTACAGGAGGGATAAATCGTGCTTTGTAAAATTAACTTAGATTCACACATAAAATATCTGAAACTGAAATGATCAAGATGCTTGAGTTCTTGCTTACTTCACAACATATGTGTTACGTTTAAAGCATGCTTTGCAACAAACAATCGGCATTCCCATGGAAAGCAACTGTGCTCCTCTCCTTGTCGACTTGTTCCTTTATGCATATGAGGCTAACTTCATACAGGAACTTCTTTAAAAAAAAGATGCTAGAATTATCCCTTAACCTCACTTTCCGCTATATAAATGATATTTTCTCACTAAAAATTCAAAATTCGGTGACTATGTTGAAGGAATATATTCCATCGAACTTGAAATAAAAGACACCACAGATACAGATAAGTCTGCCTCATATCTCAACTTACATCTAGAATTTGGCGATGATGGTCGGTTGGGAACAACAATGAAAGACAAAAGAGATTGTTAACTTTCTATTTCTATGTATCAACATTTCAGCAGCGCTTGCATATGGATATATGCATATATCCAGTTGATAAGATAATCCAAAGCTGGCATTTCCTATCATGATTCATGAAAGAGAGTTACTGCTTACATGGCAGCTATTAAACCAAGAGTTCCAAGTGGTGAAGTTGTTATTTTCGGACACCATCACGAGTTGTTTGACCTATATGGATAACGAAGGATATGTTGAACAGTGGTATACTACTGTTGCCTTTATTTATATATGTCCCAATAGTAGTAACCACTTTCCCTCCCTCTTTCCCTTGAATGTGACCAAATTAAACTAACAACTGTGTTTGTACTTACATGACTGGTGCCACTTATGGAAAAGGATTTGCTTAGCTTTCCTGCGCACTTGGTTTTGGTTGGGTTCGTGTTACTCAGTCTTTAGTTTTTCATGTTGCATTTTGTATACTGTTGTTTTGTCATTTTTCGTTTTTTGTCATGGTATTGTCATTTTGTTTACGACTAATTTTGAATGTCTTTTGGGTATTTATCGCCTTCTGTTTGTTTAATATATGTGCAGTTATATCAAAACTTTTGATTGTGTACTCTCTACTCTACTATTAGCCATGCTCAACTACAATTTGGTGATACAAATTCATTATTGTAGGTCGTGAAATATCTTACTTTGTAAAGAATCACTATGATTATAACAAAGAAAAACAACTCTCCTATCCCTGACTCGACACAGGCATTCTCCTAAGAAAATGGTGGGTTAAACCTGGTTTTATAGCTAGCTAAACCTCTCATTAAGCGTCGCAGTAATAGTTATGTAATTACATACATCCCTGTTACAGGAAATATAAGGATACTCAATCCATCTGTTTAATCTTCATATAGTACATTTTAAAATTGCAATATGACAATCACATTAAACAAATAAACTAATATTTTGAAACAATGAATTCATTTCTGCATAACTCTTTATATTTATAGAAAATCCAAAGAATATCACGATTTTAGGGACGGAAAAAAACCTACTGTTTGCACAAAGTAACCGCAAACTTAACTTAACATGTTATGTTGAAAGTGGCATTCCAAAAGAGACGATCATTTGGAGGAGCAACACAAAGGAATTAGCCCGTGGCGGACCTTCTTCACTCACCTACGTGTTTACACCTATTCGCAAAGATCACATGAAGAAATTTTCGTGTTTGGTACAAGCAGACACCATTTATTTGGAGAAAAGTGTTAAGCTGTTCCTGTATTGTAAGTATACTTATATATTTTAAATAAACTCATCATAGATACCAGGATTAAATTTGGTACGTCAGACATTACAAAAGACTCATCAGTGACGCTCGAATAATTTTTTTTAAAAGTCCAAATAAAGTACGAAGTTGAAGAGCATATCACCTAGATGTGTTTCAGCAGACCTACCTGGAAGACTGATCACGATGCAAAACCTGCGAACGAGTCTGTCTGATCTGGGCTTTTCAAGAAAAACCAGCTCTAATAGAAGTTAACCCTGGTTTGTAAATAATACCATCACATAAATAATTACACGATTTTTATTATTACATTAGATTAGCTGAGATACCACCTTTTTTTTCTTCCCCTAGAACAAATCATACGTCTACAAACATTATCACATTTCTGTAAATTTTTGAGAAAAGACCTATTGATTGACTGCTGTTTGATTACCCCCGGTAGCAAACCAAATGACTTAGTCAGGGAATACCCTTTTATTGTCCCCGTTCTTTGTCTTAGCAATATTTTCTGTATTAAAAAAAAGGATGTACGATTGTTACGGCCGGAAAATCGTCTTTTAATTGTAGCCAACAAAAGACACAAATCAATAATAAAATTTAACAAAATTTATTATACACTAGTTTATTACACAAATAGAAATGTCAATTAACTGTCAAAATATGAGTCTAATCTTTTATCTTTTCTTTATCCGGAAATCTTCACGAGAATCCACAGAATATTACGTCCAATAGGTCACAATTTAGTTTAATGTTGTTTGTAAATAAAAGTGTCAATCCAACTGCTGAGAATGTTGATGTCTATCGATGTCTAAGTCTATCACTATCTAACTTTAGGGTCTGCGTACTTGTATATATACTCAAAAGGAAACTTCTAGATAACGGTAGATGTTTAAACTACGCATCTTTTGTTATGATCATTCTGGAAACGTTATGTAAGTGATATAGAAAGTTCTAATCATTCCATGAGTATCAATGATTGTTCCAGGTATTTCTAAACTGCATAGTTGTAACACGATGTGTATTATTTTGTACACAATGTAAAAACATATAATAGGCCTAACAAAACAAATTAGGCCAACTAAATAAATATGATAGTTACAATATCATAACATCTTCCCCCTTAAAAAAAGTTTGAGTGTACCAAAAACTTGTCATGAATAATATGTACAAAAATACATAGTATATACAAAGTGTTTTAATAAGTTGTAGATAAAGCATCTGCTATTACAATATCTTTACCTTTAATATGTTTTACAATAACATTATATTCCTGTAACAATAAACTGCACCTAGTCAATCTCTGGTTCTTGCTTCTCGTTTTATGTATGAAGGTGAGAGGATTATGATCAGTATAAACAGGAATAGGATGGACAGTGGGATTTAAATATACATCAAAATGTAGATTTGCAGACAACAGTGCAAATTACTCTTTTTGAATAGTCGAATAATTTTCTGATGTTTATCTAATTTCTTAGAAAAATATGATATTAGTTTCTCAATATTATCATCTGTCTCTTGATATAAAACAGCTCCAACTCCTACATCACTTGCATCAACGGCAAGTTTGAATTGTTTTTCAAAGTCTTGAGTGATCAGAACTGGACTATTAATTAAAGTGATTTGCTATTTTCAAAAGCATTTTGACAATTATCACTCCAGATAAATTTAGAATCTTTCTGTAAAAGATGAGTCAATGGTTGAACAACAGTAGCAAAATTTGAACAAAATTTTCTGTAAAATCCAATCATGCCTAAATATCTCATTAGTTGTTTTTTATTTGTAGGAGGAGGAAATTTGGTACTTGCATCCACTTTAGCCGTAATAGGTTTCACTTGACCTTGGCCAACTGTATGCCCTAAATAATCAATAGTGGCCTGGCAAAATTCACTTTTACCAAGATTAACAGTCAAATTTGATTGTGACAATCTATAAAAAGTATCATATAGATGTGTTAAATGCTCTTCCCAGCTATCACTTCATACAATTAGATCATCAATATAAGCATAACAACAGTCTAAATCTTTTATAACATTATTGATCATTCTTTGAAATGTAGCTGGAGCACTTTTTATGCCAAACGGCATTACAGTATATTGAAATAAGCCATCTGGTGTGACAAAAGCTGATATTTCTCGAGCTCTCTGTGTCAACGGGACTTGCCAGTAACCTTTCAATAAATCAAATTTGCTCACAAATTTTGCTTGTTCAATGTTATCAATGCAGTCGTTTATCCTTGGAATCGGATAGGAATCAGATTTTGAAACAGAATTTACTTTTCTTAAATCAGTTACTAAACGAAAGGTTGTATCTGGTTTGGGCACAAGGAGACAAGGAGAGCTCCACTCACTGTTACTCGGCTCAATAATATCATTGTCAAGCATATATTTAATGTCTTGTCTCATAAATACAAGTTTGAGTGGATTGAGCCGGTAAGGATGTTGCTTAATTGGAGAAGCCTCACCTACATCGACATCATGACAAACATCAGTGCACGTGGTTTTGTTTAGCACATCTGAAAAAAATAAATAAAAGAAAATACAAAAGCTTTTAATTTTTCTCTATGATCAAAAGACAGATGTGCAAGTTTTGAATCTAAATTTGACAAAATTTCTGTAACTGTCTCTTCCATAGTTTTAGAACTATGGGTTCAATTATATCTGGTTTTTCATGATTGTTCTCCAATTTAACCATGGCTAAAGTGGCAAATGTTTTACTCTCACCTTCATTAGTACGCTCAAAATATGGTTTTAACATATTAATGTGACACACTCTATTTTGTTTACGCCGACCTGGTGTTTTTACAATATAATTCAAATCATTGATTTTACTCTCTATGGTATAAGGACTACAATTTTTAGCTTGTAATGGATGTCCAGGGACTGGCAAAAATACAAGTACCTTATCACCAGGTTCAACAAATTTGTCCCTGGCATCTTTATCATACCATATTTTCATCTTATTCTGAACAATTTTTAAATTGTTCTGAGCAATTTGACAAGAGTATACAATTTTTCTTTAAATCTAGATACATAGTCTAGAAAATTCAAGTCAGTGTGTTCAGTAAGCCATTTTTCCTTAATCAATTGTAAAGGTCCCCTTACAGTGTGACCGAATACCAACTCAAAGGGACTAAAACCAAGGGATTCTTGAACAGCCTCTCGGACCGTAAAAAATAAAAAGTGAACAACATCATCCCAGTCCCTTTCAAACTGAAGACAAAAAGTTCTAATCATGTTCTTCAATGTTTGATGAAAACGTTCTAAGGCACCTTGAGATTCTGGATGATAAGCACTTGACCTATACTGAGCAATCCCTAACTGGTACACGACTTGCTGAAATAAACCTGACATGAAATTTGAACCCTGGTAGGACTGTATAGACTTTGGAAGACCTACTAGCGTGACAAATTTGATAAGAGCTTTGACAATAGTTGGTGTCTTGATATTCCTTATCGGAATAGCCTCAGGAAAGCGAGTAGATGTACATATGATTGTCATTAAATACGCATTTCTGGTCTTGGTCTTCGGTAAAGGTCCCACGCAATCAAGGAGTACTCGGCTAAAAGGTTCCTCAAAGGCTGGAATAGGCAGAAGTGGTGCTGGTGGTATTTTCTTGTTAGACTTACCAACATCCTGGCATATATGGCATGATTTACAGTATTCTGCGACATCATTTCTAAGTCTGGGCCAGTAGAAATGCTGCAAAATCTGTAGGCAAGTCTTCCATATACCTGAGTGTCCAGCCAAGGGGGTGTCATGGGCAAGACCAATAATGTTTTGCCTATAAACATAAGGCACTGCCACTTGATATACCACTCTCTATTCCTCCTCTGGGGTAGCATCAGGGGGCCTCCACTTCCTCATTAAAATGCCGTCCTGATGGTAATAGCATTCGGCCACTTTGTCTATTTCCTCCTGTGGTTGAGCCCTCTTGCTGAGCTGAAGAACCTCAGGGTCTTTATTTTGCTCTTTGACAAATTTCTTTTGGTCTAATGAATGGCTGTTAATGTCTGGCCAAGGCATAATTACATTCTTGTTAATACTAGATGGTCTTATTATGGCCTTCTCTGAGCTACCGAGACCTTCAATGTCGGCTAGAAAAGTGTCAGAAAGGTCCATGTAATCAAACTGGTCTTCTTGCGAATCCTCATGTTGTTGTTTTCTAGCCATCGCTCTAGTAACGACACAAGCTGGATACAATTCAGCATCATCTTCAGGTTATTTAACATCCACAACTGGTTCACTGGTAACAATTGGTTCAGCAACCGCTTTGTTCCTAGCTAGATCATTTCCTAGCAATAATGAAACACCCTCAACAGGGAGATTAGGACAAACACCCACAACAACTGGTCCGGTTATCAAATCTAACTTCAGATAAATACGATGGAGGGGAACATCTATACAACTTAACTCCACACCTTATAACAAAACGGAGGCACCAACAGAAGTCTCCTCGGACAAATGCAACACACCTTCTTAGAATAAAGACTGAGAAGCTCCAGTGTCCCGTAAAATCTTAATAGGCTGAGGAGTAGTATTATCAACAATAGAAACAAACCCATCAGACATTAAAGGTTTATAATCCTCCTTGTAATCACAAAAACTGGACTTAAAAGCCTAACTCGCAGGACATTCCAACGTATTGGTAACACGGGGTGTCGTACAATCACTGGTCTTGGGCTTATTATCTCTAACTGGAGTCTAAAACAATCAGCCATCAGGTGACCATTCTTCTTACAATAAGCAAAAGTCAGTGACTTCTTCTCAAAAGTATCAAATTTTAGACTAGACATATTATAACTAGACTGACTCTTATTCTTTGCAACAGGCTTGCTATCAGTACGCTCAGTGCTTTGATTCTTGTAATTTCTAGTCGAAGTATTAAAATATTGACCTTTGAAACTTCCTTCATGTGAAAGGGTATAATTATCGGAAATAACAGCTGCATCTTGTAATGTCTCAACAGTGTGACTAAGTCAGGAATCTGATGTTCATTAGTTGTCGTTTGTTGATGTGGTTCATAAGCGTTTTTTATATAGATTAGACCGTTGGTTTTCCCGTTTGAATGGTTTTACACTAGTAATTTTGGGGCCCTTTATAGCTTACTGTCCGGTGTGAGCCAAGGCTCCGTGTTGAAGACCGTACTGTGACCTATAATGGTTTACTTTTATAAATTTTGACTTGGGTGGAGAGTTGTCTCATTGACACTCATACCACATCTTCTTATATCTATTGTCATCTAAATGTGTGTTTAAGTCCAAATGAACACATTGCTTGAACTCTTCTAATAACATGAGTTGTTTTAGGTTCTTAAATTGTTATCTATTTTCTGTGACGTAAGCCATTTATCAAATAGGTCTTCTTTTTCCCTAGCATATTCAACATAGGTTTGTGAATCAAACTTTTTATAAGATCTAAACTTCTGTCTATATGCTTCTGGCACTAGCTCATAAGCTTTCTTCCTGCTTAACAGTGTCATAATCAAAACTTCTTTCTGATGAAAGTGCTGAGTAAATTTCAGCGGCCTTGCCCTCAAAAACACTTTGCAGCATCGTAGTCCAATAAGGCTTTGGCCATTTCAAATTATGAGCAATTTTCTCAAACTGTGGACAATATTTATCGACTGTTTTTTTCACAAAATCCGGGAACCAAATGTATATTTTCTGCTGCATCAAAATGTTCTGATTTCGACTGTACAATAGTGTTACTTTCTCCTTTAACCATTTCAATTTTTATTTTCTCCAACGGTCTAATCTATATAAAAAAAACGAGAAACGAGAAACACTTATGAACCACATCAACAAACGAAAACCACTGAACATCAGTAATATATATATATATATATATATACAACTGGTCTAAACATCAGCCAAACAATGTTAGATCTGTAAATTTGCTTTCGCAAATTTTTTGTTCTTCCCTCGACGGGATTCGAACTCATGCTACTGAGATATCGTGACACCAAATCGCCTGCACTGTATCCGACGCGCTAGACCACAAGACCACCTAGGCTTCACAATAATAAAGCTTTCGGTGGCCGGGTGTTACCTTTCCTCGTCAGTTTAATCTAGCGTCGTAATACAATACATGATATATAAGGCATGAAGATGGAATTGTTACAGATCAGCTGAAATATCTATTGTAAAGGATCCTACAAATCAATGCAAGATAAAGTCACAGAAATAATTATATATATATATATATATATATATATATATATATATATATATATAATAGGCGCCAACCTTCACCCTACCTGAAACAATAGTGTAACACCAGAACATAGAAAGACACACTATAGAATATAAATTGAAATGGCTTAACTCAATCAAAAGACATATTAACAAAAACAAATCAACATACACTGAACGAATAATTTGATCTATAAAACTATGTATTTGGGAAATAAGTGTTCTCACACAGGATGTATGTAATTAAAGGGAGTTTTTTTTTTATAAGCGGAATTCAATTTTTCTTTTTGTATTTTAACTATTATTGTTTCAGTTCCGCCAAGTGTACAGATTTTGCAAGGAAATTTCGTTAGCGTTGTGGAGGGCACTAGTGTGAATTTAAAATGTAATTACACGTCAAATCACAAAATAAAGGAAATAATATGGCAACATGATAACAAATATATGACGAATTCCTCTCAGTTACATCTTGTGTCCATGAAGAGAAATCAAAGTGGAGAGTATTCCTGCACAGTTGTGAATTATGCTGGAAAAGTAGCTGCAAATGTGACAATAGAGGTGTTGTGTAAGTAGCTTAAGTGTATCTTACAAATAAATGTAGATCCATTAGAATATTCTTGGATGTATTTTGTAATTACAGGCGCCTTGTCATTTTAATCTATTAATATTTAGGTCTAAATATGCTAAAAGATGAAGCAAAGAGCTCATGGAATAAAATGTGAGTTTACCTTTTACTCAACATAACCCATCCCCTTCCTCATTTTTGAAAGGACATGCAGCTCCTTTTCGATCAGTGACATTGCTTTGAGGGGTTTCACAATAGATCACAAGAGAATGGAATTTTGGTTGCAACAAGCGGCACATATCGATTTAACGATTTTTGATTACACTATATCGAATTATGATACCATTCGTAAAATTTTAAGAGGCATAACAATTTCATGGCACTAGTAATATTTCGGATTTTGTCGTCGGAAAATGGACAGTACATGTATAATCTAGATAAGGAATATCTTACTGGATCAAGGTCACATACGTTTTTTATGGCTTAACACGTTCAATAGGTATTGAGTAGGGTAAGCTGTCTTTCAAATAGAAATGTTTATCTTGTTTGCCCAAAACAAACTGTTTTGACGTCAGATGTATATAACATGTGAAAGCATTTGCATCAGAGTTTTTGCTTATTTTGATAATCCTCATAATCATTTACCCTATTGTCCTATGTATCGTCTATCAACAATATCAATCATGACTGCGTGGTTTAGATTGAATATGGTGAGGTATAAGTAAATAACTTTTTTATAACTTCATAACATTTTATCTTTATACAATGAATTCTCAATATTGAACCTTGAACCATATCACTCATATCAAACGTTTTACAGTAACATGTTATTTAAAAAGCCTTTAAATATGCATATCTGATCAGTCAAGGAATGTCCAACTATTTGTTTTTTTACAAACGTATTGTATATTGTATTTTGTGAAAACGTGCATGTGGTTTCAATGACTAATTATATTGATCAAGCATAAACAGTTTGGTTGTTTGAAAACTGGTTATCAATGTCTTACCAAAGAACAACACTTAAGTTCATCGTTGCGACTATACTTTTTAATGCTTTTGGGGTCCCGAATACACTACCATAAGAGAACAACCGACCATCAACAGAATAACTGGAAATCCTAGAAAAAAAGGTAGCAATCAACAGCACCTTACGGACGCGGGATTGGAACTACAAGCCCATTATTGAAAGGTTGTGGATCAATGAAGATGGACTATTCATACAGTCCGCTATTTAGGCCTCTTACATTAACGCAAAAAACATAAACCACAATGAAACATTGATTTTGATTCCTCCCTTACCATGAATATGAAAACACTTATGCACGAAATTGTTTTCGCAAATGTGTTGTAGTTTTAAGGTAGTAAACGCATTTAATCAGATTCTTCATTCGTTCAAATTTCATTTGGTAATTATAAAATACATTTTTTCTTTGAATTAGTGAGCCAGGGTTTGTGTCAATGAAGTCTCGTTCTTTTTCGCAAAATGATCATTGGAAAATACCAATACCTAATAGATTAATAATCAGTGTCTACTTCACAAATACTACCGGATGGTCTTGGGTTATAGTTTCTAGGTGCTGACGTTGTGTATCGTTTTATCTATTATAAAGTTTCCCCTTATTTCTGTTTGTACTATTGTGTGGTCTTTAGTCGTATGAATCTTGACGTGAATGGCATCTGTGAATCAATCTATCGTGTTTTGGCTTTGGGACATGATGTTGATAGTTCTAGAAGTACGATTCAGACACATGAGGTTTTTTCAGTGTTGTTTTCATTTTGTTTACTCTTATATTTAGATTTAACTTAATTTGTACTTTATCGGGAAAGTGTATTTGAAAATTATATTTTAAAATACGGTATAAAACATTAACTAAAAAACTTTTTTCTTTTGCGTTTATGTCAGACTCATTTGTTTGCATGTTTCAATTTTTAGGTAAGTTGTGTTTTTATGTTTTTGTCGCATGTTTTTGCTGATAGATCCCAATTAATGTCTTGTTAACAAATTGTGTATGTCTGGGTTATTTACCCAATTGTGTCGTTAAAATGGAACTATAAACAACTTTCAACCTCTCAAGTGGAAGTTTTACCTTTTCCCGTTTTAAATTTCTTTGTATTTCGGTATTTGGTTCATACCTTTTAAGTATATTGACAGGGATAGTCTCTTTAATGTGAAATTCGACTCCAATTTGTGACATTTTGTGTGCTATCGACCCAATAAAATGGCAATTGACGTTCATTTTCAAAAGTGTTGAGATTAAAAATGACATTCCGTAAATTTTATGGACACCATCACGAATTGGTTGATCTATACGATGTGTCTGTGTCTAAACTAACTAACGAATTTTTTCCACGTTTCAGATTGTGCTTTAACATCTACGTGGTCTGTTCCCGAATGTGACTGTTTTACTGAGTGAAAATTCGCATTGCTATTAAACGTGTCTCGATATTCGTACATCCAACATTTATGTATTTAGTTATGATGTTTCATTTGTAGTTCTGGTTGTCTGTTGTTTTATGTCTTATCGTTTGTGGTTTTAATTCTATTTCTATTTTCTATATGTATGTAAAAGTAAAGATAACTGATCACCTAGTTCATTTATATGTTTTTGAGTTTAAAGCAACTACATACATTTGTACACAGGATTTATTTGTTTTTACACAGTTTGATTCAGAAGATAAACCGACATGGTTATAAAATACAAATAATTACACCATCACTAACATAATTCTATATTAATATTCTTGTAATGGTTAGAAAATACATCAAATAACGCCATTACAAACTTAATCCCAATTTTATGTTCTCTTTTTACAAATGTACCTATGACGTCACTTTTTATGGCGTTGATACATTCGTGTGACGCATAGTTCATAATTCGATTGTACTGTATTTGTGTTTTGTCGTAAATTAATTTTAGGTGTTCGTTGTTATTCTGTGGTTTACATGTTGAAATGTACTATTATATTATTTATTTGTGTATTTCTCTGTCCTGAGTGTTCTTGTAATTATTTGTATTGTATTCCTGTCGCGTAATGTTAGCGGTAATTTTAACATTACCATATAAGCGGGAGGTTTGGCTAGCCATAAAACCAGGTTCAACCCACCATTTTTTTCTTAAAATGTCTTGTACAAATTAAGTCAGGAATATGGCAGTTGTTATCACATAGTCCGTTTCTATGTGTGTTGGCGTTTGTTTTTGTAGCAGTTCAGTGTTTCTGTTGTTCTGATTTTTTTCCCCTCTTATAGTTGATGAGTTTCCTTCGGTTTTGGTTTGTGACCCAGATTTGTTTCAGTTAAATCGATTTATGACTATTGAACAGCGGTATACTACTATTGCCTTTATCAAAGATTGATTCAGTGTTTAAAGTGCACAAAACCAAAAACAACTATATATATAAATGAATATCGTTCAATTTTAGATCCACCTGATGTTGCAGTTTCCTTTTCTGAAAACAAAGGGATCAGACAACTTAAATGTAGCCCAGATGGTTTTCCAAATCGTTATTACTTTGGTAAATGGGAGCACATATCAGAATTTAGAGAACATATCCGATTTTTACCTTCAAATAGAAATGGAATAATATCTATTCCCAATACAAAGAACGAAACGGATAGACATTTTGACAGAGGAATATATATTTGTACCGTTTCAAATAATATATCTGTGAATGGCAGAACGTTAATGTCAGCTGAATATTTGCTTAATAGTACTGGTGAGTAAACTAACATTTGACAAAAAAAAAAAGACGCGTGTACCAAGTCAGGAATATGACACTTGTTTCTCATTAGTTTGATGTGTTTGAGCTTTTGAGTGTGCCATTTGTTAAGGGACTAAATTCTTACAGTTACTAGTAATTAGAATATAATCTCCCATTCTGGTTTTTTTTCTAAAGTTTACTTCTGTTAATAACAAAAGCAGTGTTGCTACAACCAAATTGCCAAGATTGAAACAAGCAGAAAAACACCACAAAAAAAGTTTAAAAACGACGAATGGACAAACGAATAGTACAAAAAACTTCACAGAAAGATAAATGATATTGAGCACCACAAACTCTCAGAAATGTCGTAGTTTAACGCAGTTGCTCTGGAAGGGTTCATGCCTCAAAAGTGGCACCAATTTTGTTGTTTATTTAATGGAACATCCGGTAATTTCACAATCGAGGAGAAGACGGAATAGTAAATACTACAGATCGGAAATAGCCTGTGCAACTCATATAAAGCCTTTTTCTATAATGAGAAAGATAAATATGCTACATTTAATTACTAGAGATTTAATGAGATGATTAAAGCACTGACTATTCTCTTTGACAACAGTTATGTATGTTTCGGCAATAAAGTTTATCGACAGGTTGTAGGTATTCCTATGGGCACCAATTATGCCCCGTTTAATATTCACGAATTATCTAACTATATTGCTGAAATTTACCCAAAGGAACTTACTTTAAATAAATCTAATATCAACATCAATAACTGTCCTTTCCTAGATTTAGATATTTCAGTACTCACCAGAAACTCTACACAAATAATTTACGACAAAAGGAATGAATTTTCTTTCCGAATTCGTTCGCTATGCTCGTGTCTGTTGTGACTATTTTGATTTTAATGAGCGTAATCTATGTATTACTAGTAAATTATTTAGTCAGGGATTTCGTTACCACAATTAAATCCTTTACTAAATTATTTCATAGATACAAAGATTTGGTCTGCAAGTTTGGTTATACCCGTAGAAAACTTATTTTAAGCGGAATAGCACATCCTAAATTTTTTTGAAGTTGTTAACCGAGCCCGAAAATTTAGATACGATCCGGGTGAACTTATCAATCCTTTAAATAAACAATTCTAAAGTTTACTTATTCAACACTGTAATTAAATCTTTGAATTTTGTTTTTATTGGCATAAATATTGATTTTGTTATCAGTAAATAAAAACTAAACATTACACATATGTACTTTCGCGGTTCTACAATCTGTTGACACCTTTATAAAAATAATTGGATGGTGGATGTGTACTGATTGAAATTTTAGTCTAAGATACATGATTTTTTTCATTTTCAAAGGTATTGGCTTTGAACTAGCTGTCAGTACTGCTAGTACTCTCAGATCTGTACTTAGTGTCGTTTGTTTTTTGGATGTGTAAGTACCCGTCCACGTCCCCTCTGTGTTTTGCAAGACGTATTTCTATTTGTATCCATCTGGTGAGTTAAGCCTTTTTCAACTGATTTTTATGGTTTGTTCTTTTGTTGTACTATTACTGTCCCAGGTTAGATGAGGGTTGAGCGCTCACAAACATGTTTAACCCCGCCACATTCTTTATGTGCCTGTCCCAAGTCAAAAGCCTGTAGTTCAGTGGTTGTCGTTGGTTCATGTCCGTCATATTTGTTTTTCGTAAAATGTTTTGTTATAAATTAGGCCGTTAGTTTTCTCAATTAAATTGTTTCATACTTTTTCATGTCGGGGCCTTTTATTGTCGACCATATGGTATGGGTTTTTCTCATTATTAAAGGCCATACGGTTGGATATATTTGCTTACATCCACTTCATTTGAACTTTGGTAGATTGTTGTTTCATTGGCAATCACAGCACATCTCCTTATTTTTCTGAGACATGTTTGTACTTATATGCTCCATACCGGTGCACGAATCAAACTGACCTCAGATGAACTTTGGAAGGGATCTGTATTTGATTTTACCACTTGGAACCTTTGATAAAATATCCCACATATATTACGAAAATCAACTGTGGGAAACCCGAGGCCGTATCACCTAGGAAATATATTTGTCACAAGCAAGGGATGCCGGAATGTTGAATACAATTAAGAAAAAGTTATATGGTAAATTGAAAACATTATAATTTGATTCATTTCATGTCAGTTAAAAGACAATTTTTTACTCTTATCTCATTGGAATAGATAAACCAATGCGATAATATGATTGGTGTTGTGCATCATTTTAATTAGTAAATTTTACGAAACCATGTGCAATTTTGATTATCAGCTTCTTTCAAAATTTTAAACTTTTATAAAACATGTCAATTTGTTATTAAGATGTATGTAGTGAAGGTGTGTGTAAATGTTACTGTCAACCTCCTTGACATAATATAAGCATATTCAAATGATTTGCTGTTTAGCAATTTACAATTATATTTATAACACTTTCATGTTTCCATATTTTCTAAAATAAAATCTGTTTGTACATAAATCAGTATTTCTGATTTGATTTCATCTTTAATTTTTTGTTCATGTACTATGTATACTGCACTATTGTATTGCGTTTACATATCTCAATCGATACATTACGCTATAAGGACTGTATTCGCAGGGGGTCGCTCATTGTTTCATACTTTGTAAAAAATCACGTTGATTCAAACAAGAAAATCTCCAAGACTGACATTATCCAGACGCTTGATTTTTTTAATCGACAATATATTTGTTATGTTTCGAGGACGTGTTTTTCGACAAACAATCGGCTTTCAAATGTGTACCAACTGTGGTCTTATTTCTTTTGACTTGTTATTATTCATATGAGGCTGCCTTCATACAGGAACATCGTATGAAGAATGAACAGAAGCTTTATCCATTAACTGCACATTTCACCTATATGGATAATATTCTCTCACTAGGTAATTCAACGTTTAGTGACTATGTTGCTCAGTGTTCTCTGTTGTGTTTTGTGTACTGTATTTTGACTTTTCGATTAAGTCATAGCATTGTCAATTTGTTGTTGACTTATGAGTTTGAATATTCCATTTTTGTTTTATACATAAGAGATATATGAGATATAACGACTGAAATCAACACTTCTTAAGTTGTATGGTGACCTTCACGAATTGATTTCTCAACTAAAATAGAGGGGAGAGATACCGAAGGGACATTTAAACTCATAAGTCGAAAACAAATTGAAAACGCCATTACAAAAAAGGAAAAAAGACTAACATGCACACAATAGTACAATAAGCACAACATAGAAACTAAAAACTGAGCATCACGAACCCCACCAAAAACTGGGGGTGTTCTATGGTGCTCCGGAATGGTAAGCAGATCCCGCTCCACATGTGGCACCCGTTGTGTTGCGCAAGTTAGTACAAACCCAGTGATAAGTCTAAATCGGTAGGTCACATACGGGGGAAAAGGGGCAGGATTGTAGTTACGAAATCATTTGGAACATATCCGATATCATCTTTGAAACGGATATTTCATAATGGTGAACCAACTCTTGATATCGTCCGTAAAATTTACGAAGGGGTGATTTCAACTTCACCACTTGGAACTCTTGGTTTAATAGCTTCCTTGTAAGCAACAACCTTCTATCAAAGATATGGTGATAGAAAATAGAAGCCCTGGAATATCGTATCAATTGGAATATATATACTCCGTAGGCAGGCGCTGCTGGAATGTTGCTACATTCATTTATGCAGAGTCGTAGATCCTTAGACACAAAAATAGTAGTGTGATCTGTAAATTTACCGTTTGTGTAATTTCCAGTTAATGACATTCTGAGTGAGCAAGTATACCCATGGTATGCATTTCCTTGTCGATGAACACGTTCTCATACCTTTTGGAGTTCATGTCATTCCCTCAGTTTCTATATGTTACCTTGATTTGCTTTTTTAATCGAATTATGAGGTTTAAACATTGTTAAATTACTGTTGTAATATATATTATAATATTTAAATATAAAGGAGAAAAGGTTAACAAAAGGGACTTGACCTTTCAGTGTTCATCATACATGAAGTATCTTTATGTTCCTTCATTTTACATATCAATAGGACAATTGAGATATTTATGCAAATCTTGTGTGGGTGTTGTTAGTCACAATATATTTTTTGCAGTGGTATTGTTTTGTTTATTTCTTAGAATTATCCCCTCAAAAATATAACTGAAATACTACTTATTCAAAACTGAACCAATTATGTACAATGAGCTATTTGTGACAAATGATTACTTTTATGCTGCGTATATACTGTACGAAAATCCCTTTGAAATATATACTACATGTGGTCCATAAAAAAGTACATACTTATCTCGGTTTTATTTTTGATAAGGTGCAACAATTTTAATTTCATTAAACTGTAATATAATGATATCTAAAGAAGCGAAACAAAATATCCAATCTTGTAACGCACTTATGGTACTCTGTGGTAGGACATCCAAATGATAGAAGGTTTAAGAAATTTCACTTATATATCATTCTGTCCTGCTACATTTGAAATGATGCTGATATCGGAGATCGATTAAACATTATCGAGGCTGATTTATTGAAATTCTATCACATTTTATGTCTTATTTTACGATGTTGTATATTTACAGGTAAACCGTATTTTGTGACATCAAACAATGCAACTCAGTACAGCATTATTAACCAAAATACTGTATTGACCACTGATATTGTAAATTTCGAAACTCTCACCGATGCAGCACTTTTCGCCGATAAAATGAAAATATCTAAATACAGCAATATCCAGCAATCAACTGTTACTGTTAAAGATACTATGTACGACAGCAATGTTATGGTGCATGGCACAAGAGTGATGTTTCCAATTACCATTCAAAATGCTGATGAATTCCGAGAATATACCGTTGTTGTAAATAACACAAAAGGATCATCAAGTTATGAAATATATCTTAGATCTGCAAGTAAGAACTAATTCATTTAGAAGGAGGAAAAGGTCTAACAGTATTTTAATCAGTTTCAATTCTGATCGAGTTGTAAAATGAAACAAAATGAATCCATTTTAGTATTTTCCGTTTCTCTTTGGCAATACATTTCTATCTGAAATCGTCTGCAAAGTCTTTCAAAACAGTCCTAGAAGGTCATGTTTAGCTATTATTGAAACAGTAATTAATTTTCCTTACGCAGCACATTCCCATTCTCCTTTCCTATTGTTTCTGATGATTGGTTTTGACCAGTATTTTATAAATTTTGTTTGGCATTGACCATTTTTGTTGTCCGTCAATGGTTAATGCTGATGATTTCCGGCTGTGTATAGGTTGCTATGATTTTTTTTCGAATATAATTCATCTACAGATTAGCTATATAGGGTTTTGCAGGAAGAGACATGGTGTGCGTTAGAACAGGAAATAATGACTCTTAAGGCCCCTCGTAATAATCTTTAGTTTTCTGTAAAAAAAAAATGTTGACTGTTGTTTTTATACTCGGATTTTGCAATGCTTTGTGTGTTTGTTTTTTTTTTTTATTTTCTAATTTTCTTAATGTCGTCTTTGTATCTTGTCCCGTTTTATAAAATAATTCCTTACTTACTTTATCAATAAAATTAAAATAGTAATGCGAAGAATGTATCTCCCATGGCCAAAAGTGACTGCAAACGATTTTGATTGTGTTGTTCGATGTAAAACTAAGTATTAAATACAACAACATCTAGGGCTAGATATCCTGGTAGACAATCAAAGTTCATTTGTTAAAAAATCACAAGCAAAATCATGATCAAACGGTTAACCTAAATTCAAATATTTGTCTTCCGAAACATTTGATATCAAGGGCAACTTTCGCATTAAGACATTCTTGGCTTCAAATATTTGCGTTTAAGCATTTCCGATTAAGTGTAATCAAGAATAACTTGTTAGAGGAAGTATGCGACGGAATCATCTTTTTTGGAGATCATGACTTATTACAAACCCATCATTTTTGTAACATCTACAAAACAATCTTTTTCAGTAACATTCAGAATGTTTTAGTAACAAAACAATGTTGTTTAATTTGAACCAAGTGATATTTTCTAGACATGTCAAATAAATCAATGAAGTAAAGGAAATACATACCGTTACAATATAAATGATTGATGCATCAGTGTATTATTAAAACCCCCATCGCTTACATCGTTAAAGAACCTTCTTATTACCGTATACATGAATGATGCAATACCAATGACATGATTAAAGGTATAAAATGTCATAAATCGTAGATATGGACACGCGACGATAGCTTGTATAAATGTGTAATCTGACATAAATTGCCAAAATTAATCACAATGCAAACTGAACGATGCCACATGAATTCAATAGACAGGTGATTTTGAATTTAGATTTTTAGAAGTTCCTGTTTATCCTGGTGTACTGTAGTAAATTCGTGGGATTGTTCATTGTTATTCTGTCCTTTACATGTTGTAATGTACTATTATATTATTCATTTGTGTATTTCTCTGTCCTGATAGTTCTTGCGGTTATTTGTACTATATTCCTGTCGCGTAATATTGTAATTTTAGCGGTATTTTTAACGTTGCCATATAAGTGAGAGGTTTGGCTAGCGATTGAACCTAGTTCAATCCACCTTTTCTTAAAATGTCCTGTACCAAGTCAGGAATATGGCAGTTGTTATCAAATAGTCCATTTCTATGTTTGTTGGCGTTTATTTTTGTTGCAGTGTTTCTCTCGGTTTTGGTTTGTGACCTAACTTTCTTTTCGTTGTGTCAATACATGACTATTGAACAGTGGTAAACTACTGTTGCCTTTATTTGATATCTTTTCGATCAAAATATGTGTACTTGAGAATTACAAATATAACTAAATTGTATAACAAAATAGAAGGAAATGAGACCAAGGAGCAATCAATTATCAGTCGAATGAAAACAAAATAAAACAGCTAAACGACAAAAACGAACGAACATACCAAACAACAGTCAACAAAACTAAAAGCCAACTTAAGATTAGGCTACACCAAGTCATGAAATAACAGCTTATATACAATGTAACTTTGTTTTTAAAACACGAAACGATATGTTTTAATTACATCAAAGACGGTTTCAATTGCAATTTCTCAATAGATATCTAACATTAAAGCTATAGCAAACTAAGATATTGTCCCTCAGATATATTATTATGGCACAGTGCATATAAAGATTCTAACACTGCATCGAATGTGATACGATATTTCACCATTTAAAACAGTTAAATTATCAATTTTAGACAGCAAGGCTCGCCAAGCATTTGAGATATTTTAGATTTAACTGTCGAGATTGAATTACTATCGTATTCAACGATATTTGGTGGTAAAATCTGTTTCTGTAATGATTTTTAGACGAGATGCAGATAAACTTTATCCTTTCCCAATAACCTGCAAATATATGTGTTCTTTCGATTTATGTCACCATGCATGGTCATTCCTTTTTCGTGATGACATAATAGGAAATTATGACTATCCAACCAACTACTTTATATAAAAGTGTAACTTAAAATAAAATGTACTTTTGACTCATATTTCAAGAACCACTCAAAGCACCACAAAACGTAAAGGCCATTGCATTGGATACAAGAATAATAGTCAAATGGACTGCTGATCAAGACATCGGGTTAAATGAAACTTTTTTGGTAGAATACCGTAAACATTTTGAATCTTTATGGGGTCTAATGTCTGCAGTAGACAGGTCTACAGCTATAATAAAAGGGCTACAGCCTGATGAAGTTTACTTGTTACGAATGTATTCTAAGACTGCAGCCGGTGAAAGTGATAAAACAGATGTAATCATAGTAAAAACAGGTAACATATTTAGTAACAATTGTTTTGTTTCAATAAATATGTATCAATTTTTTACTGCACAAGATGCACATTTCTTTAGTGATGCTCACGGCCACAAAAAAAGGGAATCCAAATACAAATACAAACTTCGATGAGCTAATCAATTATCAAAATTGGTGATTATTTGTTTGCTTAAAAGCCAATGTAAAACCAGGACAAGGACAGAGCTATGCAGGAGGAAGATTAAAAATGTTAAAACTGAGTCAAAATATTTCCTTGTTCAGTAAATGCATTTTCGTATCGGTTTTGTCGTATGTTATACGAAAGTTCATTTTTTCATTGATATCTTTTTCCATGACAGAGTACAGTTAGGAAAAACGTCCTGGGACCAATGATCGTGTTGTTCAATTATTCCTAATGTTTACAAATAACGCAAAAACCGGATTCCAATAGATATTTCTCTTACTTTGGCATGTTTAATATGTAACAGAAATAAATTTATCTTTACGTTTAGAGCTTAAACATTATTGGCTTTGATCGAGCCTTCAATCATGAATAAAGTAAAATTCGGCATAATTCACCATGGTTCTCAACACACATCCTCCGATATAACGCTGAAAACAAACCTATTCAGAAATGCATTTGTCATGTTTGTAAACATTTTGTTATCTTCTATTACAGAAAAGCCTCTCGCTAAGGTTAGCATTTCTACAACGGAATCTACTTTGGTTCTTGGAGCAGGATTTATAATGATAATAGTGTTCTGGTGTGGGACAAAAGGTTATTATATATTATAACACGAATGCATATTAAACAAAATGACCAAAGGAGGTTTATACACGGTAGTCGACTAGAAACCATACTCTTGTGTACTATACCAATTTTCGATTAAGAGTATGAATTAATTAAAAAGTCAACATACAATGTATAGACATAAACGATCATAGTATTTTATATTTGATCAGATACGCATCGAGCAAGGGTGAGTAGACACTATATGCGTCTCCTTCATTAAGCAAAATGTGAATCAAGACTTAGTTGAAAATGTCACCTTTTAAAAGAGTAGCGATTTTACTGTCATAATTTCAAAGTAGTAGTAAGTGATTGTTTATAAAGAAATTATATATAATATGACGCTTATACGATACACAAAAAAAAAACTTCATTACCATGTAATCTGTGAATACCAGGCCATATAGCTGTGAAATAGAAATAGAAAAAAAAATTTCATGAAAAGTTTGTCGGTTTTGTCAATGTAAATACATTATAGATATGTTATAGAATTACCATGTATAGTATTCCCCGGTATAGCTGTTATAAATTTAAACCTACCAAAGGTACGTTTATTGCTATCACAAATCTAATCTATTTAGCATTTTACACAAGCATATCACCATCATGGGAAAAAATGCGTTACACATTAGCCAGGGCAATGATTCCGAAAGAGGTATGCGAAAATTAGGGTTTTCTTTTATGGAAGAAAACGCTATTTGATTATAAAACGAACAACGATGAACAAAATCATAATAATAACATGTATATGTTTTTGGTATCAAATAACCGAAATTGCTATAATAAAACGTCAGGATATTTGTAGTAGACACTAGTTCAACCAGTCTGTATGTATAAAGTAAAATCACAAAAATACTGAACTCCGAGGAAAATTCAATCGGAAAGTCCCTAATCACATGGCAAAATCAAATGACAAAACACATCAAACGAATGGACAACAACTGTCATATTCCTGACTTGGTACAGGCATTTTCAAATGTAGAAAATGGTGGATTGAACCTGGTTTTATAGCGCTAAACCTCTCATTTGTACGACAGTCTTATCAAATTCCGTTATATTTACAACGATGCGTGAACAAAACAGACATTATAAATAAAATAGTCAAAATATGGGTACAGCAGTTATCACTGTGTTACAATATCAAAACAAACAATTATTTACAAAAAAAGCACAAAAGCATCTATCAAATTAAAAACCACATTCATTGCTTCATTGTATATGTTTAGCATTTTACAAAGGAATTTTGAAGATTATAACAATAGAATGCTTTTAATCAATCAATAATTTACAGTGGTAAAGAACAGAAAGTGGTTCTCAAGAGACCAAGATAGGTAATGCTTTGTTTTCAAATTTGCATTCTGCATGGTAAGGAAAACTAGGGGAAATAATGTCTTTGCATATTCAGTTTTATTGAAGAAAATTCCATAATATGCGATCCAAACTCTTCTCATTGTACAAAATCGTTCAAAATCATATTTACTTTAGAGCATGTATTCATTTTTATTTTTGTTTTTCTTACACATTAAATTTGTTAAATAAATTTAAAAAAAATAGTCTGCTCTTGATATATAATAAGTCGAAAATACCTAATTTTGTCATTTTTATTAATCGCATAGTGTAACATCTCACGGACGTAATCGTTATATATTGGTGTTTTAAAACAAAAAATACATTTTGAGGCAAAATAACACCAATATATATTTATGAAATGAAAACAGAAAGAGAAACACTTGATTACAAAGTTATATCTTACCTTTGAAAAAAAAACTTAGCATCTGTAAAAACCTGTTTCAAACTGTTCATACAAATTGCTTGAATGAAATACGAATAATTACGATTGAACGTAATATGAACTCTTGACAAATTGAATTTGTAAACATTTTCGGTAAAGTATATAAAGAGATGCGTATTGATGATATCGTCTATGAATAATGTGTACAGTGTATTTGTCTTGAAATTTTCACTTATGTCTTAGCAGGATACCTCCGTTACGCAGAAATGAGGAAACATCTGTCAGACTTGCTCAATATGATGAAATTGATAGCATATATTATAACCCACTTAACATTACCGTTTCTCCTCAAAATACTAGGAATAACGCGCAGCTCGAAGTTCTCCAACCGTCAACCAACAATGAAAATACTGACAACAGTAATACCAATAACTGTTCCAATAAGAATATAACACCTATTATCATCCATCATTTCAATAATAGTCAGGAGGATTCCTCATTGAGATCATCATCTGACGAATCCTATCTCGTTCCCTGTAGGAATTATCTTGATTTAGATATTGAGAAGGTAACCGAAAACGAAAAACCAGTTATAAGTATTGCATCATCTGACGAATCCTATCTCGTTCCTTGTAGTAATTATATTGATTTAGATATTGAGAAGGTAACCGAATACGAACAACAAGTTAACAGCATCAACGATCCAGAAATACCCCTAGAGGATTCTTCTGTTTCAAGTGATAACAGCGAAACCAATATCAAAAGTTTTCAAAGATATGAAAAATTAAGATTATCTGATATGAATGGACAGTCTTACACAGAACACACGTACAATAACATTGACACATAAAGCAAGCGATAATACGCAAATCTTTTCCAATTTTTATCCTGAGTGATTTCAATCAGATTTTGTAAAGTATGTTGACATTTGTATATTTTTTTTATATTCGTGAGTTGACTCTAACTGACGCCTATAATCCATATTGATAATTTTACAGATTATTTCATTTAATTAAGTTTTCAATATGGGGTCTGGTTGAGATACATTGTATATATGTACAGTTTTTAAATCAGCCGGTTAATGATAGATCATAACGAGTATGTACTCATTACATCTTTTGTTTTCTTTTTTATTTAATATTCTTGTATTTGTATAGCATCATTTAGTCACAGATACGTAATGAAAAAACCATAACTCAAAGCTAGTTAAGAATAAGTTGGTAATTTAATAAAAGTATTGGTTTGATAAATGGTTTTTTTAGATGATGGATTTATAAACCTTCTTTTTTTTCCATTTATTATAATTATTATAAATTAGAGGCGAATGATAGGTGTAATACGACCATTGATTTTCCTATTAGTCTTTGTTAAATTTGCACTTTTGAAAAAATTGTGCAGAATTTATCTTTGTTTCAAATAAAGAAATACTAAGCATGAGTAAAGTTTTATCCTATTAAGTACTATAGACATAATTTCTCATAACATTTCGTTGCATATAAGAATATAACCATCACTGGAAGTTAACCAATCAAATGTTCACACCTTTTTTTCCTGTGTACAAGCTTTAGTAACCATGTAACCTCAAGTTTCCAAAATATTCTATAGAAACACCAAATAAAAAAAAGTTGCTTTGAAACACCCAAGATATATGTTTATGACTCAGAAATTTTTTACTGCAATGAAATGTAGGATTAATTTCCTACAAGTGTCAAATTCAAAGGAATATTTTTTTTCGACCCTTTTTCGTATGCAACCGGATGTGACGTACTATGATTTGGTGGTGTTACACCTAAAGAAGAATTTTTTGTTAAATAAACTGAATGTGATATTTTCCTTTGTAATACTGGTTATTTCAAGCATTATTGTCAAGTTTTGTCATAATCAGTTCAATAGTTTGCGAAAATCTAGTATAATGTAAGACGAAATCTACAGCGATTCGAGGAAAATTTCTTCGAAAAAATCCAAATCAAGCCGCATCATGATAGAATATAGTGTGGACTAATAAATGATCAAAAATTTATCTCATCTGCCTACAAACAGTTGAATATGATACAAAAGATGACTCTAAGCTGATAAATACCACTAACAGACCTCTTTGTCCTCATTATAAGGTCCCTTTTGTCCATTTAAATCTCTCCTTTCCTCTAAATTTCAACTTTTGAGGCCAATAAACAAAAATTTTGGGGTAACTTTCACTCATTTATGAAAGAAATGTGATAATAAATGAGTAATTAAAGTATTCAAGCTGAATGAACTATAAAAGATAAAAGTTTACTGACTCCATGCAGGTTTCAATAAGTCTTTAAGTAAAACTTAAATTTACGCCACGTTCCAGAGAGGGACAGAAAAAGCTTCCTTTTTAGTGAATAATTTGTTGATACTGCTTGAAAATTTATTTCATTTACTAATAACTATATATTTATTAAAATATTACTTAGGAAAAACTTTTCCATTATAGAACGATATAAGAAATAAGAAGACAAAGTCAGATAAAGCTCAACAAACACTGAGTATGGCTTGCTCTGTCTACTAATATTCATGGTAGAGTCCTATTTGAAAGCAATTTTCTCATTAAATGTGTTTTTGAGACTCAATTCACTTAGAATATTTCATTTTGTAATATTTTACTTAAAAAGCATGAAGTTTTAACCAATAAGAGTACACACAAGTTCAAAGGTGCATGTGCAGCTTCCCATAATAGGTGTAATACCACCATTGATTTTCCCCTATTAGTCTTTTTAAAATTTGCACTTTTCAAAAAATTGTGCAGAATTTATCTTTGTTTCAAATAAAGAAATACTTGGCATGAGTAAAGTATTATACTGTCCAGTACTATATTATAAATTAGAGGTGAATGATAGGTGTAATACCACCATTGATTTTCCTATTAGTCTTTGTTAAATTTGCACTTTTGAAAAAATTGTGCAGAATTTATCTTTGTTTCAAATAAAGAAATACTAAGCATGAGTAAAGTTTTAACCTATCAAGTACTATTGACAAAATTTCACATAACATTTCATTGCATATAAGAATATAACCATCACTAGAAGTTAACCAATCAAATTTTCACCCCTTTTTTTCCTGTGTACAAGCTTTAGTAACCATCATCATGTAACCTCAAGTTTCCAAGATATTCTATAGAAACACCAAATAAAAAAATAAGGGTGCTTTGAAACACCAAAGACATATGTTTATGACTCGGAAAATTTTTACTGCAATGAAATGTAGGATTAATTTCCTACAAGTGTCAAATTCAAGGAATTTTTTTTTTTTCGACCCTTTTTCGTATGCAACCGGATGTGACGTACTATGATTTGGTGGTATTACACCTGATACCAAGGGCATAACCAACACTCAGAAGTCATTTCCGGCAAAATCATAGTAATAAACAAAAACGGACGAAAAGACAAGTGAGAGTCTACAATTGACTACAAAAAACCGAGGACTGAGCAACTTGAACCCCAATAAAAAATCGGGAGTAATGGACGAAATTAGTAATTAAAAATTATCCTTATTTGTACTAACGTAATAACAAAAGATAAATGTCTAACGTAAAAACAATTCAACAATATATTACAATACATACATCACAAAAACAATTCCATAGCTGCTAATGAAGTGAACTACTACAACCATTTTGTGATAATTATGATTATGTTTTGTTTCGACCAATTCTTACTTAAATGATAGTCTTAAGCTTATCTCAATGCTTGTGTTTTAAATGTTTTTTTCGTATTAAGTGAATAACTTGACTGTTAACGTTTCAGCCATCGAAATGTTTACACAGGCAGTATCTATATATATATATATATATGTATAGCTCACTCACTGTTTTAAACGAAATACATTGCATCCTATGGCTACACGTCTTTATTCCAATTGCAAAATTGTGTTTATTCTCGTGAGAGGACGTAAATCGTAGACCAGTAGAACTTCTATATATCAAAGTCGAAGTTACCCAAAATTATCGTTAACCTGGTATGCTAAAGCGGAAGACCTTCTTTTTATCCCTACCAATTGACATCGATAGAACATGCAGTACATGTATTTACAAATATTTATTTAATAATCACGAGACAGAATAAATAGTAACTTGAAAACATCCGACCACCGTCTATTTGATGTTTACTATGATAAGTTATGATATGTTCTTGCGTGTGTTTGTGCTGTATTTCTGTCACGTAGTGTTTTACAGATATTGTTTAACATTGTCATAAAGCGGGAGGTTTGACATGCCATGCAACAAGGTTTAACCCACCATTGTTTCTTAAAATGTGCTGTACCAAGTCAGGAATATGACAGTTTTGATCAAATAGTTCGTTTCTATATGTGTTGGCGTTTGATCTTGTTGCACTTCGGTGTTCCTGTTTGTCCTTTGTTTTCCTCTTATAGTTGATGTGTTTCCCTCGGTTTTGGTTTGTAACCCGGATTTGTTTTCTCTCAATCGATTTATGACTTTTGAACACCGGTATACTACTGTTGCTTTTATTTAATATAACTTCCGAAAGTAGTTTCGGAACGAAACAAATAGTTACAAATGAGTGTTTTCAACTTCGTTCTTTTATGGCAAGGTCGAACTTCATCTTTGCCATAACTATAATGAATTTCATAATATTTATGATGATTATTCTATCTTTATTGATTTTCTTGTTGTGGGTTTTTGAGTTCTGTACTAGATGATCTCATGTAAAATGCGTTTCATAAACTTCAGCTTCCGCATGCTCAATCAACAAAGGTGTCGATGAACAATAATTTCGAAAGTCCAGACTATGTACTGGTTACCTAAATAACACAAACAACCACTTAAATTTTGTTTTTCTCTCCGCATCTAGTAAGTGTTCTACTACTAATCTGTCAGTGCTTGTAACTACCTCACTTACTACTATCAACGAATTTGTTATTAAATTTTGTAATAAAGCTTATTGAAATAATGGTATTAATTATTTTTGGAGTGTTAAAAATTCTTTAGAGGTTTTAGATAAAATACGTGCTTTTGGTGGTCCTTTTTAATTCTGTTGACAGTTATGATTTTTTACTCTCTACAATACACTACCACAAAAATCTTATCAAGACAAAGTTTTCATATTTAATTAAATGGTCGTTTGACAAGTGAGAGGTTTAGATAGCTATAAAACAAGGTTTAATTCACCATTTTCTACATAGGAAAATGTCTGTATCAAGTGAGGAAGATAACAGTTGTAAACCATTCGTTTGACGTATTTCAGCTTTTGATCTTGCCATTTGCTTTGGGACTTTCTGTTTAGAATTTTGCTCGGAGTTCGGTATTTTTGTTATTTTACTTTTTTGAAAAATCTCATTGCAAATGTATTTGCTGTAACTCGTTCTTTAACGAAAAAGGTAAGTATGCT